CTGTCTTCTTGACAGCCGCTAGAGGCGCTTCTGCAACGCTGGATGCGAAATTCACATTCAGCGTGCAGAACGTCCATAGGAAAGCACTGAAAAATGCTTTCCTATGGACTGTTTGAATGAGCGCGCTGCTCTGGCCGTGTATGCGCATTCCGCTCCACTCGATCACTTCATCTGTATTACATGGTCCGGGTGTACTGACCATGTAGTTTTAACCCTAAACACTGCCGTTTAGTAGATACAGCAATATTATGATTGAAAGGTTGACACACATCTAGTAGCGGTTTTCCTAACAGGCTCTACAGTGCTTCCCTTGTGAGAACCAAGTCAGATGCTGCTCCTGAGATCAACAGGGGGCTAACATCAAAATAATTAGTAGGACACCTTAGCGCTAGGTATACGTTTGTATTCCTAGTACAATAGTATTTCTTAAATCTCTTTAACCAGACTTAGACAGTCTGTCCACTAAGTGATTCAGTCCATTACTAGTGTGTGGCGAAACCAACCTCGCCACTGGGCATTGGAGACGCCTGTTTGCCCACCTCCTGACTATGGCCCTGGGAGATTTGGCCCTTTAAATACAGTATTTGGGCATATTGTATTTTATTATGCTGCTGCTGGCCCTTTAAGAACTATCTGTGGACATACTGTGGAGTTTCTGGGTGGCCACCATTTCATGTATCAGAGGCACATGGTGAGAACAATGGATGAAGCACTTGGTGAGAACAATGGATGGCGGCCATTTAACTCACAGACACTGTTTGGACTTTTCTACACAGTGCCATCTCGCCAGTATTTGGTGCACGAAGACATCGTGCAGTAGTTTTAAACCATACAACAGGGGACACATTATACAGTAATTATTTTTCATATAGCATGTATATGTTCTGCGGAATCTGCATTAAACTGTATCTTCCAAACTACTGAACGGATCTGGGCGAATTTTGGATATGGGGTTCACCCAGATCCCTCAGTTCCGAGAATATACTTTTCATGGGGTTATTGCATGTTTTGTGGTCCCTGTTTTATAATACTGTATTTCTCTGCCTGTGATAATTATATCAACCATTGTGTTCAGTAATCATATCACAGGCAAAGGGGAGGATTTTGTGTGGGAGTGTCTGTGTGTATTGTAAGGATTGATTGGTTGTATTTCAAAACCCTGTGGACAGTACTATGTTTGTGGATTGTGAATAAAAGAGGCTGTATGTGCCAGTCCAGTCAGTTCTGCTTGACCTCAAAACGAAGTGCCGTCTCGTTATTGGGGGAATTGGATTGTATGCTGATTGCCAGGAGTGTGAGCTGATTGTATGCTTTTCCTGTTCAGCTGCTTACAGCATTCATATGCTTGAGAGCATTCATCTGCTTCTCCGGTTCAGTGGTTGTGGTGTCTGCTGCAGTGCTTGGAGTCCTCAGGAAGCGCTAGGAGCATCCTTCAACGGAGGTACCCAGTCGGGGTGCCAGGTGATCCGTTACATAGTGTGTCTGTAAATGATGATGTTAGGCCTCATGTGTGGACAGATTTAGGGCACAAGTTTCAGGATGATACCTCGCAGCATATGGAAAGCTGGCTGGTATTGCAATACCATAAGAAAATGACTATTCTAACTTTGAAGAAATAGATGTTTAAGGCCAATGCAATATGAAACATATTAATATTCTGGGAATTTAATCACCTATGTTGTGACACGTTAGAGTACACACCACCCAAGCAGTGATTGGCACTGCAGAGCCACAAGCAGTATAGCAATAAAAGTAAAACTCCTATTTTCTCCCAGGAGAGACAGACTGCAACGATCCTTTAAACATTTTACTCTTTTTCTAAACAAAGTTACTGATAATGGAAAAGCACACGGACACCAGATCAAAGATGAAAACGGAATCACCAGTTGGTTATATATATATATATATATATCGTATATTGTGTAACTAATATCAGATAGAAGGTTTTTATCTTTATTGAAAAACATTCAAAACAACGGATTAATAAAACCAAAAATAAATTAAATCAAACATACCCTTAAAACCACTTACCAACCTTGCCAAAACAAAGAATATTAACAAATAATTCCAAAGAAAAATGTCAAAACCGTAGTCAGCACCTCTTATACCTCATAACAGGTTACAACGTTCAAATTAAATTTTATCTTACAAAAATGATATTATGTCCCAATACATGATAACGGTGAACAGATAAAAGGAAGACTCTATGCAACACAACAAGATAAGTCTAGAAGTTATGTTGACAAGAGAGCTCGGTGCCATCCCCAGCACTCTCAGCCGCAAGCTGTGTTAGTTATGGTGCTAAGGTAACCCTTAAACAAACTAGCTTTAATAAATGAACCGATGAGTGTGATGCGAAGATTGAATCCTCCAAATGTTTGCATTGCTGCAGTGTCCAGTCAATTTATTTTTAACAAAAATCTAGAAAATACACCTATAGTTTGTGTTTGCTGGTATGCTAGTTTCCAGGTGCAAGGGATAGAGCAAGCAGCATACAGCTTGAAATGTTGAGCCCTGATTTATTCCTATTTTACAGCACACACACATTCAAATATATAACACACTCTTTGTGTTTGGCTGTATTGGTGCCAGGAACCCAAACGTATCCCTATAATTATAGCAATGATAAAACGATCATTTGGGCTGGATTTCAGCCAGAGAGTCGGTCTGTTCTCGGTTAGACATTATTACACAGTATTTATATTCCAGGTGCCCCTTAAATTTTGTCTGTCTAAAGGGAATCTTTGGGAAGCATCGTTTTCAAACGTAGACATGTAAACGCATTTGCATATCAACAACATAATGAGCAAATATCTTGAACTTAACCCTACAGTGTCCTAATGCCGGATTACTTTATACGGATCTCTTTTCCAGCGCTGAGACTGCCACGTTGGTGACGCCCGTTCCCACAAAGTTACCCGGCTCTCTCTGATTGGGGAGTGATGCGCATGCATGGAAATTGCAGCCACAGGAAATCATTCAATTAAATCATTTCCTATGAAATTACCTGCATTTGGACGCAGACCAAGTTTCACTGATTGTTTTAGAGGAAGCACCGTTACCTTCTGTCAGCCACTAGAGGTTTATTTAACCCTGCAGTGTAAACACTGCACGTTTTACTACCACTGCACCCAGACCATTTCATTGGGATGAAGTAGTCTGGGTGACTTTAGTGCACCTTTAATTTAAAGCCGCACTGACACTTTGTTTCCTTTAGTTTTCCATTTTTATAACAAGATTAAAGGACCACTATAGGCACCCAGACCACTTCAGCTTAATGAAGTGGTCTGGGTGCCTGGTCCAGCTAGGGTTAACCCTTTTTTTTTTTTTTTTATATAAACATAGCAGTTTCAGAGAAACTGCTATGTTTACACTGAGGGTTAAGCCTTCCCCCTAATCCTCTAGTGGCTGTCTCATTGAAAGCCGCTAGAGGCGCTTGCGTGCTTCTCACTGCATTGTAAATGCTTTCCTATGAACTGGCTGAATGCGCGCGCGGCTCCTTCCGCGCATGCACATTCAGCCGATGACGTCGCTGTGAAGGAGGAGAGCTCCCCGCCTGGCGCTGGAGAAAGGTAAGATTTTATCCCCTTCCTCTCCCCAGAGCCTGGCGGGAGTGGGACGGGCATGGGCACCCTCAGGGCACTATAGTGCCAGGACAACGAGTATGTTTTCCTGGCACTATAGTGGTCCTTTAAGATTATACTTGTCCCCTACCTTGCCACATACCTTTAATTATATCTAATGACTTTAGAATTAGGAGGAGAACACTCTTAGAAACAAAAAAAAATAAGTTTATGATCCTGTTCAAATTCTTTGATTATAAAGAAAAAGTAAAACTGTTTATTTTACAAAATAGAAATATTGTATTGTAGGCAGTGTTGTTAAATAGGCACCTATCAGGTTTTAAAATTAATCTTTTAATGAGGAAAATGAATTAAAGCAGCAACTTAAAGGAACACTCCACTGATTTAAAAAAAAAAAAAAAAGAAAATCAGTTAGTAAATATATTCCCAAAGAAAACATGCATTTATGAAAAAAAGCTTGCAAAAGTGCAGATCTGTTGCCTACAGATTTTGCAAGTCCTCCCCTCACCCCACCTGTGCTGGGGAATACACCAAGCAGAGGCTTCTCATTGAGAAGAGTCTATGTGCTGGATAGAGATGTGAGCATGTACTCAGTCGCTGCTTTTCAGTGGCTGGAATACAGCTCACTGAGAATGGGGGTGGGAGGGGGGGGGGTTTGGTGCACATGTGCGCTAGCCCAGAGTGTCTGATGCTTCCTCCTCTTTTGTTGACTCTTGACAGCCATGGAGGCGTTTATGCCCCCAACTATAAAACTGTAGATTTCTACTGGCAGGCTGTAGGCTTTATAAGTGTTGGAGTGCTCCTTTAACGTAACAGGCCCTGCATGATGTCAGCTTGGTATTATTACAGCAGACCTAGGTAGATCCCAAGATCTTCTAGAACAGAAGTTGGCAAAGAACAGATTACTAAAGGTTGTAAAACTGCAACTTCCATAATGTAGGCTGACAGCACCATGACAATTGTACTTTAACATTCGGCCATCTACCTATGCCCAGCCCTGTTCTAGAACTACAGCTGGCATGAAACCTTGTCAGCTTTTGGTATGGCAAAGCACCATTGTATCTTCAGCATAGGGGAATCTACCATTTTCTCACCCCTGGATTCAGTATCTCTCTCATAGAGAGCTTGGATTAGATTTCCTGCTGCACTGTGATTGGTTGACACTTGAATGAGACAGCTAATGTATGTGCACATGATGTCAATGACTGGACATATTGTCTCCAGCAGCAGGTTAGAGAATAGCAGACGAATCCAGGTTGATCTAAAGATAACAGAAACAGATATTGGGAGGCTGCAACCCTACTTCAGTTCCCTAATGTCCATTTTAAATTCAACAATGTCTTTGTTTATATTAGTTCTTTTTACATGGAAACAAACATTAAAACAGAAAAAAATAATCTCAGTTATTTTCCACACTCATAACAAAATTGGTTTCACATCTTTGTGAATACTCTGATGTCGATTAAAATCAGTTTTGCGAACAAAACGTTTGCCACACTCAGCGCATGAGAATGGTTTATCTTTTGTGTGAACTAATTGATGGTGAAAAAGATTTGATCGATCTGTAAATCTTTTCCCACATTCATAACAAAAAAATGGCTTTTCTCCTGTGTGAATCCTTTGATGACCCTTAAGAACGGATTCACGGGTGAAACATTTCCCACATTCAGAACAAGAAAATGGCTTTTCTCCTGAGTGAATCTTCTGATGAGAGGTAAGATTTGATTTGTGGGTGAAGCATTTTCCACATTGAGAACATGAAAACGGTTTCTCTCCACTGTGAACTGCGTAATGCTTTTTAAGAGATGACTTCAGTTTAAAACATTTCCCACAATCAGAACAGGAAAAGGGTTTCTCTCCAGAGTGGATCCTTTTATGAGATGCAAGATTCGATTTATCTGTAAAACATCTTCCACATTGTGAACAGGAAAATGGTTTCACTCCAGCGTGTATCATCCTGTGTGAGTTAAGAGACGACTTCAGTCTAAAACATTTTCCACATTCAGAACATGGAAATGGTTTCTCTTTAGTATGAATCATCTTATGCATGTTAAGAGTAGTTTTCAATGTAAAGCTTTTCCCACAATCAGAACAAGAAAAGGGTTTCTCTCCTGTGTGAATCATCTTATGCGTGTTGAGAGATGCTTTTACTTTAAAACTTTTCCCACATTCAGAACATGAAAAGGGCCTTTCTCCGGTGTGAATCATCTTGTGTATGTTGAGAGAGGCTTTCAATTTAAAACATTTTCCACATTCAGAACAAAAAAATGATTTTTCTCCACGGCGAATCCTGTGAGCTTGCAAACACGCCATTTTCTTTCCATTATGAACGGTCTGATGTTTGCCAAGAAATAGATCGTGAAAGCTGTTTTGTATCCCATTAGAACAAGAGGATGTTTGGATGTCTGGATAGGTGAGATTATTTTCTCCAAAAGAGGCCAATTCCTCCTTAATATGAATAGATGTATATTCTGTCTGCAGCTGTTCTGCCAGTTTATTTATATCAGTAGTTAGAAGATTTTCTTCATTACAGAATCTTGATTGTTCCATAATATGAGTAGGTGGATATTCGGTATGTGAATATTCATTTGGTGCAAATATTTCAGTGGCTATGATATTTCCTTCTTCCCATGATACAATTTCCTCTTTAATACGAGTACATGTATAGTCCATGGGTGTATAACTGCCAGTGTCCGTGATATTTCCACCTTTACCTGAGGCTAATTCCTCCTTAATATGAGTAGATGAATATTCTGTCTGTGCATGTTTTGATGGTGTACCAATGTCAGTGTCGGTGAGATTCTCTTCTTCACAGGAAGAAAATTCCTCTTTAATTTTTGTAGATGGATATTCTGTCTGTGTATGCTGTATGGATGTATAAACGTCAATGTGAGTTCTTCCTTTGCAATGTTCGGTTTCCTCCATAGTAGAAGTAGATGTATAATTACGAGTGTCTGCATGATGCCCTGCGTCACCTAAGGTTGAGTCGTCCGTAGGACTAGATTCTGATTCTATAGTTCTTGTGTCTGCACAAATATTTGAATCTGTTTTCCTTAAATTTCTTTCTTCATTAAAAACACTCCCGTGTTTCACAGATGTATGCGCTGTCTTCCTTGTTTTATTCATTGTCATGCAGTTTGTTCCTTGGTTTGGTGAAGAAACTTGAGTGTGAAACCCATCAACTTCAGCTTGGCTCACAGAATCATCTAATGGAAAGAAAGAAACCCTCGCAGAGTTAGACTGTTAGAACCACAGCTTAATCTAATGGTTTGGGGGCAAAGAAACTGTTTAATGCCGACTCAGCAATGTACACACTGACTTTTCACTTTGATTTCCCTATTATTCTCGAGTGTAGTGAAGAACCCAGCATGTATGCACCATAACTAAAGTTAGCTATAGGGAGTGCACACATTTACATGTTGTAAGATGGACCAACAAAGGAGACAGGAGGAACAGAGACAGGAGAGGTTTACACACCAGATTCACATTTTTTTCTCCAGTTCTTGTATACCAATAATGAACATGAATCCTGAACCACTATCAAATTATCAACCCCCCCACCCATGTAGTGTTTATCGCTCATCTGACAGCAGCATCTTCAACTGCATACTCTCGCACATGCACAGGCGTACAAAACAGTGTCTATGGAATATTGTGAGAGGTAACCCACCAGTAATCACATGCTTGTGCAGTAAGATGGCATATTTATCTACTGCTGAAAATGTCTCCAATCAACAACCGATGGAAAATGGCAGGTTCAAGCAGCAGAAGTTACAACCATTGTCACATTTTGCCAGTGAACGGGTTTTATCAGCCATCAGGAGTTTTCCATTCTTACTTAAGAATCTTACTTTATGAAAAGGTGATAAGTGACAGTGCTGCCCAAGGTTGTAGATTGTAAGCCAACATGCAGCGTCCTCAAATGTATCTCTATAGACCAATGTTTCGTTCGGTCTGTATTTTCTGCAGTGCTATACAATGTTAATATGTTGGCTCTAAATATAGAATTCATCAATATGTCATTGGTTATATTACCACTTATTTTGTGTCTTTTGATCCAGTAGTACAAATGATTATCTAAGTATTTTGGTCTTGCAAATAATGGGTTTGAGATTATCGAAACCAACTGTGAAACTGTAATTAGATTCTTTATGTGATGTGGTCCTAACATCTTTGATATAAATAAAGATAAAGCTGATTAAACATCTTACCCAGTAAGTTGAGATGCCTGTGAGTCTCCACATCTCTGGAGGATTCCTTGTGTCCTTTTAAATAAGCCCACACCTACAAGTAAAATAGATCACGACCTTATAGGAACCTGACACACAATGATAAAGTCACACTTTTTTACTGTATATTGTCCCATTCCCAGCAGCCTCACCTCTCCAGTCAGCAGGTGGATGATCGTATTGGTCAGTTCCAGGATCTTCTGGTCATTGCTTCCCTCATGGATTAGTGAGTGAGGTGAAGCCACTGTGCTGGGACTCTGGGCCCTGCTGGATCCTTCAGCCACATGGAGATTGCAGTTCTGCAGTTTAGACTCACCAAGTCTCTTCGTGATAACATAATCCTACAAATTGCGGTAGGTGACACTACGTGAGTGAAGCACTTACTATAAAACCATATCTCTTCTGAGTATTCCTCTGCATTTATATTTCTGTAGTATACAGATGTCACAAAGCCTATGCATTCAATAGACCTACAAAGATAGATTATTAACCCTGTATTCATATCCACGAACCTCACCTATTTCTGAATTGGATTCCTACCTTAAGAGTTTACAAAGACATACTTGAGAGGATGAAGACTAATCTGTAGATTTACACAACCTTCATGGTTAAACATAGAGACCTTGCGTGATTTCAAAAGCATTTGGAGCTTGGTCGCCAAGTCAAACCTGATGCACTCTAGCCAGTGGCCCCTCCCCTGAGTCCACTTATGGGATCATTGAGATCCAGCCCCTTATCGCAAAACTCCAGTTCCCATAACATTTTAAGTTGTTTTAGGAAGTAGCTGTGTCAGAGCATCATCTTACAAAATGGTTTAACCAATGAAGGTAATAGTTTAACTCGAAATGTGGGCTCCAGCACCCAGAGCTACCTTCCAGATCCTTCGTTTCTGTGTTGTAGCAAGAGGAAGTTTTAGCAGCACCCAAGTTACATGGGGCTCTGGTGAAGGGTAACATTTATGACTTCCAAACACACTGATGGTAATCAATACCCCCCTGTATTACAGCCACAATAACAAAATGGGTTTTGGCCCTCTTGAACAATTTTCAAACTTTTGGACCTTCCACTGACATATGCTTTGTGGACACCCTCATAAATGGAAACTCGTATATCATCCATCCCACATCACCCACCCTCAGTATGCCATGCAAACTACCCTCTACATACCATTTACCCTTTATATCCAATCCATCCCACCACAAACAAATCCACATTGCACTAATCCCACACCACTCACCTACCATCCATGTTCCACCTATTTTACTCTCTTCTCACTGATTCTCATATATAGATATGTACACTAGAGTTTACTGCCTATAAAATAACAGTGACTTTGAAAACTGTCATCCGCTACGATACACACAGGCAGCCATGCACAGGTACCATTGATAGGTTACTGGTGCACACCTTGATCTTCAAAAGGAGTGACCTGCTTCATCCTCTTATCTCCTGTGGCAAACCTAGCCACTTGGGACTGCCTAAGATAGAATGGTTGTGCCTATTTTCTGTTGTGTACTGCGCGCCGGTATAGTGTGGCGTCTCCGGCTATGTTTAATTTATGCTGTACTGTGTATGTCTGTTCGAATCCTCCCCATTCGTTAGCATTGCTATTAAAACTGACTAAGTTGTATATTTTGAAGTAGAAAGGTAACGGTTTATGTCCTCGTAGTTTTCATTACTGTATGTTACAGCAGGGGCTGTTGGGAGGAGGACCTGGAAACGGTAGTCTCCCTCCAGTCCCCTCAACCAAAACCCCTGCTGCCCATCTTTGGAAACCCCTGTTGAGTGACCTGCCTGTTGAGTGACCTGCTTTAAATATCAGTTATTTTTAATAAAGTGACAGTTGAGTGACCTGCTTTAAATATCAGTCTTTTTGAATAAAGTGGCAGTTGACTCTCAGACTGTGTTTCGTCTGGTTCTTGGGAGGATTTGGGAATATTGCCTGCTTCCAGCTTTGTACTTGGTTATTGCATTCTACCAGCAGAGATCCTGGGATTATAAAATTACAGCTCTGCAACAATTGGTGGCAAGCGGCGGGATCCAACCGTACAGCAGGAAAAACGCTGTTTATACAATTGGAATTGACATACTGGAAAGCAGAAGGCAATTGATACAGATGCAGAAGTGAATGGGGACGGACTACACCATATTGAAACGGCAAACGTTAAAGGAGCTGTTGGAAGCCAGGGGTAAGATAGCCAGCAATAAGCCTAAAGCAAGACTTATTGCCGAGCTAATGGAAGGAGACCGAGCTCGTAGTGCTACACCCCCAGCAAACATGGAGGAGACCCCATTTGAACGAGAAATGAGGACAAGATTGGCATTTTGGCCCGCTCCAGTATCTCCAGAAATTATGACCATAATTTCGGCGGATGCACAGGAGTACGTGATGGCGCAAAGGAATCAAGCCTTCTCACCTCAAGCAGAAACCGCTGCTGTTTCAACTGTGGGCCAGGGAAGGCCAAAAATACCACATCATGCATTTAAAACTTTTTGCGAGGATAAAGACGAAATAGATGGATTCTTGCAAGATTTTGAAAGATTGTGTGACTTGCATGATGTAGAGCAAGCTATGTGGGTACCTTTGTTGGCAGGCAAACTGTCTGGGCGTGCAGCAGACGCCTACCGGGCTGTACCCAGAGAGGACAGCAAGAATTATGACAAGGTAAAGCAGGCGCTATTAGAAAGGTATGCCATTACCCCAGAGGCATACCGGCGCAAGTTCCGAGAATTGAAAAAAGGGGACAAAGACTCACATGCGGAGTGGGCACACAAGCTTGACCAAGCCTCACAAGGCTGGATACAAGCCAGCAGAGCTACCACCATGGAAGAGTTACGCCAGATGTTGCTACTGGAGCAGTTTTGTAATGGCCTGGCACCAGAGGCTCAAGAATGGGTGAATGACCGAAATCCTCACACCCTAACCGAAGCGGCACGATTGGCCGACCAACATTATGATGCTAGGAGGCATCATAAAAATAATAACCGAGGGTATGCAAAACCCAACCCGCAACCGTTTCCAGTTATTGACCCTGCCCCTGTACCTCTTTCCCTTCCAGAGTCACGGTCTGGCAATGTGGTTGTCGGTTGTCAGTAGCATGGATGGACATTACATCGTGCAAAACGCCCAGGGGTTCATCAGCCGACTCAAGCGGCACTCCTGGCAAAGTTGGCTCTGCATGATAATAATGAGCAGCTGCCCGCGGGGCCATATTCTGCCGGAGCTGATTCCAGTTCTTGCGGCTCCGGTTTTGGGTGCACTCCCGGGCCATGTGCCCCCATTGCTTACAGGCATGGCACTGGATGTTGGACCTGCCATTATAACGGGAGTGGGGAGGTTGTCCCACAAGTGCTGGAGTTCCGGGACCGCTTGGAGGCTCTAACCCAAACCGTACGGGAGAACCTCCGGGCGGCTCAGCGGCGACAGCGCCGGTGGTACGATAGGGGAGCCAGAGACCGTAGCTTTCAGGTGGGACAGAAAGTTCTAATTTTGAAACCTGTCCGCACAGACAAGCTACAGGCCACCTGGCAGGGCCCATACCAAGTGGTAGAACAGAGATGTGACACCACTTATGTGATCGGCCCGTGCTCTGGGGTAGGGAAACGACGCATGCTCCATGTGAACATGCTCAAACCCTATCACCAGAGAATAGAGGAGGTAGCAGCCATCTGTGCCCCAGCCACTGAGGATTATGAGAATCTGCCCTTGCCAGACATGTTAGAAAAGGAAGATTCTGCAGAAAACGCTACAGGTGTGCAGCTGGGGGAGCGGCTAAGTCTCCAGGAGCCTGCCCAGGTACAGGAGTTGATTGCGGCAAAAGGTGCTACCTTCTCCAATTTACCAGGGTACACTATGTTAGCTACCCACCGAGTAGAGACCCCAGGACAGCTCCCTATGAGACAGACTCCGTATCGTATCCCTGAAGCAGTAAGGGAGCACATGAGGAAAGAAATTGAGGAAATGTTGCAGTTAGGGGTTATCGAACATTCAGATAGCCCCTGGGCATCACCGGTAGTGCTAGTACCCAAGAAGGATGGCACCACGCGGTTTTGTGTAGACTACCGGAGGCTCAATGACAAAACAGTGTCTGACGCCTACCCGATGCCCCGTATAGACGAGCTGCTAGATAGGATGGCAAGAGGCCAGTATCTCACTACCATTGATCTGTGTAAGGGATACTGGCAGATTCCACTAGCCGAGGAGGCCATCCCCAAGTCGGCGTTTGTCACCCCGTTTGGCCTGTATCAATTTCGGGTCATGCCTTTCGGGATGAAAAACGCTCCGGCTACCTTTCAGAGGATGGTAGATCGGCTACTGGACGGGTTCCAAGAGTACGCCTGTGCGTACTTAGATGATATAGCCATTTATAGCCAGACCTGGGCAGATCATTTGAAACATATTAGTGTGGTCATTGACCGTATTGGAGAGGCAGGGCTGACACTAAAACCTAGCAAGTGTCACATAGGGATGGCAGAGGTGCAGTACCTGGGTCACAGGGTAGGATGCGGACAGCAGAGGCCCGAACCGGCCAAGATAGAGGCAGTAGCTAAGTGGCCTACCCCCAGGACAAAGACACAAGTATTGGCGTTCCTTGGTACCGCTGGTTACTACAGAAAATTTGTGCCCAATTACAGCGCCCTGGCCAAACCCCTGACGGACTTGACCAAGAAAAACTTGCCACGACAGGTCAACTGGGCCCCAGAGTGTGAACAGGCATTCCATGAACTAAAAACTGCATTAACTAAGGCTCCTGTGTTAACTGCCCCTGATCCAACTAAACGATTTCTTGTTCACACAGACGCTTCCATGTTTGGATTGGGGGCAGTACTGAGCCAAGTGGGAGCTGATGGCGGAGAACATCCCGTAGCTTACTTAAGCAGAAAATTACTACCAAGGGAAGTAGGCTACGCCGCCATCGAGAAGGAATGCCTGGCCGTGGTGTGGGCCCTCAAAAAGTTACAACCTTATTTGTATGGACAACCATTCTCCTTGCTCACAGATCACAACCCGTTGGTGTGGCTACACAGGGTGTCAGGAGACAATGCCCGGCTGTTGCGCTGGAGTTTGGCGCTGCAGCCGTTTGATTTCACGATCCATTATCGCCCTGGAAAACAGAATGGTAACGCCGATGGGTTGTCCAGACAGACAGAACTTGAGAAATGATCTGTGAGCACTCCCCCGGACATCCCCAAGCCGATCCGTTGGGATCAGACTGTGTATGCCGGCTTGGTTTTGGGGAGCATTGTGGCAAACCTAGCCACTTGGGACTGCCTAAGATAGAATGGTTGTGCCTATTTTCTGTTGTGTACTGCGCGCCGGTATAGTGTGGCGTCTCCGGCTATGTTTAATTTATGCTGTACTGTGTATGTCTGTTCGAATCCTCCCCATTCGTTAGCATTGCTATTAAAACTGACTAAGTTGTATATTTTGAAGTAGAAAGGTAACGGTTTATGTCCTCGTAGTTTTCATTACTGTATGTTACAGCAGGGGCTGTTGGGAGGAGGACCTGGAAACGGTAGTCTCCCTCCAGTCCCCTCAACCAAAACCCCTGCTGCCCATCTTTGGAAACCCCTGTTGAGTGACCTGCTTTAAATATCAGTTATTTTTAATAAAGTGACAGTTGAGTGACCTGCTTTAAATATCAGTCTTTTTGAATAAAGTGGCAGTTGACTCTCAGACTGTGTTTCGTCTGGTTCTTGGGAGGATTTGGGAATATTGCCTGCTTCCAGCTTTGTACTTGGTTATTGCATTCTACCAGCAGAGATCCTGGGATTATAAAATTGCAGCTCTGCAACATCTCCCCCACCCCTTCCCCACACCCCCTGTTGTTTTTTTTTGTTGTTTTTTTAAAATATGGACATTCCCAGAATCCCTCACCTTTCCAGTCAGCAGGTAGTTGACCTCCAGGGTCAGATCCAGGATCCTCTCGGTCATCTGATTCCGGTTTGTGTTTGTCATCATTAATCCAATCAGGCAGCCTGAGAACAGACTCTGGTGGTTGTAGACAGAAATCAGAATATGCTGTGGCTCTGTAACTACAGATACAATGTATGTCACTTTAAATGGATGTAAAATACACAAACAAAATCCCCACATAAAACATATATATATATATTTAAAAAAAAAAACAATAATGAGGCTGTATATTTACCCTCCCCCTCCATACATTATATACACAGTATATACAGGGGGTGTATATTTACCCCATACATTATATACACAGTATATACAGGGGGTGTATATTTACCCCATACATTATATACACAGTATAAACAGGGGGTGTATATTGACCCCATACATTATATACACAGTATATACAGGGGGTGTATATTTACCCCATACATTATATACACAGTATATACAGGGGGGTGTATATTTACCCCATACATTATATACACAGTATATACAGGGGGGTGTATATTTACCCCATACATTATATACACAGTATATACAGGGGGTGTATATTTACCCCCATACATTATATACACAGTATATACAGGGGGTGTATATTTACCCCATACATTATATACACAGTATATACAGGGGGTGTATATTTACCCCATACATTATATACACAGTATATACAGGGGGTGTATATTTACCCCATACATAATATACACAGTATATACAGGGGGTGTATATTTACCCCATACATTCTATACACAATATATACAGGGGGTGTATATTGACCCCATACATTCTATACACAGTATATACAGGGGGTGTATATTGACCCCATACATTCTATATACAGGGGGTGTATATTTACCCTCCATACATTATATACACAGTATATACAGGGGGTGTATATTTACCCCCCATACATTATATACACAGTATATACAGGGGGGTGTATATTTACCCCATACATTATATACACAGTATAAACAGGGGGTGTATATTGACCCCATACATTATATACACAGTATATACAGGGGGTGTATATTTACCCCATACATTATATACACAAAATAAACAGGGGGTGTATATTGACCCCATACATTATATACACGGTATATACAGGGGGTGTATATTTACCCCATACATTATATACACAGTATATACAGGGGGTGTATATTTACCCCATACATTATATACACAGTATATACGGGGGGTGTATATTTACCCCATACAGTATATACACAGTATATACAGGGGGTGTATATTTACCCCATACATTATATACACAGTATATACAGGGGGTGTATATTTACCCCATACATTATATACACAGTATATACAGGGGGTGTATATTTACCCCATACATTATATACACAGTATATACAGGGGGTGTATATTTACCCCATACATTCTATACACAGTATATACAGGGGGTGTATATTTACCCCATACATTCTATACACAGTATATACAGGGGGTGTATATTTACCCCATACATTATATACACAGTATATACAGGGGGTGTATATTTACCCCATACATTATATACACAGTATATACAGGGGGTGTATATTTACCCCCCATACATTATATACACAGTATATACAGGGGATGTATATTTACCCCCCATACATTATATACACAGTATATACAGGGGGTGTATATTTACCCTCCATACATTATATACAGAGTGTATATTTACCCCCCATACATTATATACAGGGGGTGTATATTTACCCCCATACATTATATACACAGTATATACAGGGGGGTGTATATTTACCCCATACATTATATACACAGTATATACAGGGGGGTGTATATTTACCCCATACATTATATACACAGTATATAGAGGGGGGTGTATATTTACCCCCATACATTATATACACAGTATATAGAGGGGGTGTACATTTACCCCATACATTATATACACAGTATATAGAAGGGGTGTACATTTACCCCATACATTATACACACAGTATATAGAAGGGGTGTATATTTACCCCCATACATTATATACACAGTATACACAGGGGGTGTATATTTACCCCATACATTATATACACAGTATATACAGGGGGGTGTATACTTACCCCATACATTATATACACAGTATATACAGGGGGTGTATATTTACCCCCATACATTATATACACAGTATATACAGGGGGTGTATATTTACCCTCATGCATTATATTCCCAGGGGGCTGCATATTTACGTTCCACACATAATACACAGTATATACCCTGTACAAAGCTGTATTCCTGGCACGATCGCTAAAAGCCCTTATTTTACGTACCTTATGCCAGCGCCAGTGTACCTCGGTGCTGGGTCGAGGCTCTGCCCCCTCCAATGTCCTGCAACGTCCTATGGGGGAATATCTGATTCTGAATGTCATCATGCAAAGCGTGAGGACGCCCAGCGTCAGATAGCAGACCAAAGGTCCGTTTCAATCCAGGAAGTGCCACCAGTAGTTGTCTGGGAGACAGCCACTGGAGGCAGACTTAGAGCTGCAATGTAAACATTGCTGTTTATCTCAAACTGCAATATTTAACATTGCAGCACTAAGTGCAAAAGGGACACTGGACCCAGACCACTTTAATGAGCTAAAGTCTGGGTGTCTACAGTGTCCCGTAAGTATTCAGATCCTTTGCTATGACACTTTAAATTTATCTCAGATACATCTCATGTATCTGGATCATCTTTGAGATGTTTCTACACTTTGATTGGAGTCTACTTGTGGCAAATTCAGTTGGACAGCATTCGAAAGGGACACACATGTCTATACAAGGTTTATTTCTGAAAGTGTATATCAGCGTCATGAGATCAAAGAAACTAGCTGCAGAGCACAGAGACAGGATTGTGTTGAGACACAGATCGGGGGAAGGATGCAAAAAAATCTAGGCTGCATTGACTGTTCCCAAAAGTAGTGCCCTCCTTTATTCTGAAATGGAAGAAATTTGGACCAACTGGAACTCTTCCTAAAGCTGGCTGCCCAGCCAGACTGAGCAATGAAGGTAAAAGGGCCTTGGTAAGAGAGGTGACCAAGAACCCAATAGTCACTCTGAGTGAGCTCATGAGATAATGCATGGAGATATGAGAATCTTGCGTAAAGACAACCATCACTGCAATACTCCACCCATCTGGCCTTTATGGTAGACTAGCAGGATGGAAGTGTCTCCTCACTCCAAGACACAGGAAACCTTGGTTGGAAATTGCAATAAAACACCCGAAGGACTGTTAGAGACAAGATTATCTGGTCTGATGAAATGAAGAGCCATGTCTGGAGGAAACCAAGCACTGCTGAACACTTGCACAATAACATCCATACGGTGATCATCAATGGCAGGGACTGGTCATGGCTGAAGGACAGCTGAACGCAGCAAAATACAGGTATTCACTTAATAAAAATCTGGACCAGGGTACTCAAGTCCTTAGACTTGGCCAAAGTTTTACCTTCCAACAGAACAATTAGTCTAAATACACCGCCAAGACAATACAAGAGTGGCTAAATCATAACTCTCAATGTCCTTGAGTGGCCCAGCCAGAGCTCAGACTTGGCTATCTCTGGATAGAATTGGTTGTCCACCAACGGTCTCCATCTTAACTGATGGAGCTTGAGAGGATCTGCCGAGATGAATGGCAAAAACGACCCAAACACAAGTGTCCAAAGTTTGTCGCATCAGACCCAAAAAGATTAGAGGTTGTAATCACTGCCAGTTATTTCAACTAAGTACTGTGTGTGGCGAAACCGACCTCGCCACGTGTCCTTGGAGGGGGCTGCTTGCCCGCCTCTTGCCTTTGGACTATGGACCAGACTTTATGTGAATGTGTTAACCCAGATAGCTATGCCATGGAGCCCATTCGTGTAGTTAAAGACTTCGGCTCCATGGCAATTGAACTGTGTGAATAGGATCTGAGCGCTATTCGGTAGTTTTGTGCGCTCAGATCCCAGCTATCTGGGGATATGTGAAATGTCTGTGTTATGTGTAAAAGGTGACTTTATGTATTTTAAAGTGTTTTATGTCTTTTTGCAACCATGTGCTCAATGGAGTCTGCCTCTATCCCTGGATAATTGGATTACTTTCCCCATTGTCTCCAGGATAGAGGGCTCTGTAAAACCTGTTTGAGCCAGATAGCCATGTGCCAGCCAGGGCCCAAAAGATACTTTTACTAACTTTTGAACCCCTGGTCGGATTCATGCCATTTTTTAATATGTTGTTCCCCTGAATGGATTGATTGTGAATATGTAATTTTATGTGAATGTGATGTATGGTTTTAAAGTTATGAAAGTTGGGTAGAAAGTATGTTTTAACTGTATGTGTAATTGAGTTTCCTCTCAGGATAAGGGGAGGGAATATGTGGGATGTAACTGTGATATGATTGGTTGTTTTATACCTCCCTGTGGGCGGTCCTGTATGTGAAAGGCTGTAATAAAAACCAGGCTGGGTGTGCCAGCACAGGAGTTCCTGCTGTATATAATGTATGTTTACACACTGTATATAATGCATATTTACACACTGTATATAATGTATATTTACACACACACTGTATATGTAATGTATATGTACACACACTGTATATATAATCTATATTTACACACTGTATATAATGTATATTTACACAAAGTATATAATGTATATTTACACACACTGTATATAATGTATATGTACACACACTGTATATATAATGTATATTTACACACACACACTGTATATAATGTGTATATTTACAGGCAGTATATATAATGTGTATATTTACAGACACACTGTATATAATGTATATTTACACACAGTATATAATGTATATTTACACACACACTGTATATATAATGTATATTTACACACACTGTATATATAATGTATATTTACACACTGTATATAATGTATATTTACACACACACTGTATATAATGTATATTTGCACACACTGTATATAATGTGTATTTACAGGCAGTGTATATAATGTATATTTACACACTGTATATAATGTATATTTACACACTGTATATAATGTATATTTACACACACTGTATATATAATGTATATTTACACACTGTATATAATGTATGTTTACACACACACTGTATATAATGTATGTTTACACACACACACTGTATATAATGTATATTTAAACACACACTGTATATAATGTATATTTACACACTGTATATAATGTATATTTACACACTGTATATAATGTATATTTACACACACACACACACATTGTATATAATGTATATTTACACACTGTATTTAATGTATGTTTACACACTGTATATATAATGTATGTTTACACACTGTATATATAATGTATATTTACACACACTGTATTTAATGTATATTTACACACTGTATATATAATGTATATTTACACACACACTGTATATATAATGTGTATATTTACAGGCAGTATATATAATGTGTATATTTACACACACACACTGTATATAATGTTTATTTACACACTCTGTATATATAATGTATATTTACACACACACACTGTATATAATGTATATTTACACACACACACTGTATATAATGTATATTTACACACACACTGTATATATAATGTATATGTACACACACTGTATATATAATGTATATTTACACACACACTGTATATATAATGTATATGTACACACACTGTATATATAATGTATATTTACACACACACTGTATATAATGTATGTTTACACACACTGTATTTAATGTGTATTTACACACTGTATATAATGTATATTTACACACACTGTATATAATGTGTATTTACAGGCAGTGTATATAATGTATATTTACACACACACTGTATATAATGTATATTTACACACTGTATATAATGTATATTTACACACACTGTATATAATGTATATTTACACACACTGTATTTAATGTATATTTACACACTGTATATATAATGTATATTTACACACACACTGTATATAATGTATATTTACACACACACACTGTATGTAGCGGAACGCCAATTATAAATCCACGAATTCCGCTGGTTCAGAAACGAATCCACAGTCAAGCGCTGAAAACCATAAGGCAATATCCCAACCTCCCAGTAACCGGACGAGACACAGTTCTGAGAGTCAACTGACATCCTTTTAATCGGCTGGACAATTTATACAAGTCCCCATGCAAGGGGTTTCCTGAGTCCCTTCCCAGGGGCACTCCCAGAGGGGACTACATGCGGGACTTACATGACAACATATTTCTCCCATCAGGCACCGCTGCACGAGAGGGATCATCTTCCCAGAATGCACTGTTAAGGGGATTATCCCCTCGTGCAGCAGAACCGACAATCTAAACAAAAATACATAACTTGTTAAATACACAGTGGATTTACACGAATGGACGTTCGGTAGATAGCTGGGGTCTGAGCGCATCATTTGTGAGATTACCGCTCAGATCCCAGCTAAAATAACCGAACGCCGCACGGAAAACACATTTCTTTTAAAACATACGAAAAGGACCGATTGCTTTTAGTGAACACGATCCTGAAACTCCCGAACGTCCGGGAGGCTCAGCGGTGTTCGTGCCGTCGAATAGCTATTGGTAGTACTATGCGTTCGACGACCCGGCACCGCTGAGGAACAGAGGATCCAAGATGGCCGACCGCCGCATGGTCGGTAGTCGAACGACGGCCACCCAGGAGAGCCTCTAATAACCGATTGCAACAATGTTGCAATCGGTTAACTAGCGCCACACGCCTCTAAGTGTGTGGGCTATTAGGGGGTATCGCGTTCGGTTCACGAACGGCTCTCTAAAGTGCCGTTCGTGAAACGAAAGAAAATCCCCATACAAAACCGCCATTTGCATTCGGCGGAAACAGCAATTACAGGCAATGCAGAGAATACATTAAGTATACATAGAAGAGTAAAGCGCATATCTCCCCAGACCTATAGGCAACCCTTAAAGGCATAGTCTCTAGTTATAGTCCAAGTGGCTAGGTTTGCCACAATGCTCCCCCAGAACCAAGCCGGCATACACAGTCTGATCCCAACGGATCGGCTTGGGGATGTCCGGAGGAGTGCTCACAGATCATTTCTCAAGGTCTGTTTGTCTGGACAACCCGTCGGCGTTACCGTTTTGTTTTCCTGGGCGATAATGAATTGTAAAGTCAAAGGGCTGCAGCGCCAAACTCCAGCGCAGCAGCCTGGCATTGTCTCCAGCCACACGGTTTAGCCACACCAACGGGTTGTGATCTGTGAGCAAAGAAAAGGGTTGCCCGTAGAGATATGGCTGTAACTTTTTCAGGGCCCACACCACGGCCAGGCATTCTTTTTCTATGGCGGCGTAGCTCACTTCTCGGGGTAACAATTTCCGACTCAAGTTTGCTACGGGGTGTTCTCCGCCATCGGCTCCGACCTGGCTCAGTACTGCTCCCAATCCAAACATTAAGGCGTCTGTGTGAACAAGAAAACGTTTAGTTGGATTAGGAGCAGCCAGTACAGGGGCATTGGTCAGAGCCGTCTTCAGTTGGTTGAATGCCTGTTCACACTCTGGGGCCCAGATGACCTGCCGGGGCAGGTTTTTCTTCGTCAGGTCAGTCAGGGGTTTGGCCAGGGCACTGTAATTGGGCACAAATTTCCTGTAATACCCTGCGGTACCTAGGAAAGCAAGGACTTGGGTTTTGGTCCTAGGGGTAGGCCACTGGGCTACAGCTTCAATCTTTGCGGGTTCAGGCTTCTGTTGCCCGCTACCAACCCGGTGTCCTAAGTACTGGACCTCTGCCATCCCTATGTGGCATTTGCTGGGTTTCAAGGTAAGCCCAGCCTCCCGGATCCGATCTATTACAGCCCCTATGTGTTGTAGGTGATCCGACCAGGTTTGACTGTAGATGGCAATATCGTCTAGGTATGCACACGCATAATCCTGGAACCCGTCCAGTAGCCGATCCACCATCCGCTGAAATGTCGCGGGGGCGTTCTTCAACCCGAATGGCATGACTCGAAATTGGTACAAGCCAAACGGGGTGCCAAACGCCGACTTGGGGATGGCGTCCTCGGCTAGTGGAATTTGCCAGTATCCCTTACACAGATCTATTGTAGTGAGATACTGACCCCTGGCCATCCTATCTAGCAGTTCGTCTATCCGAGGCATCGGGTAGGCGTCCGACACGGTTTTGTCGTTCAACCTCCGGTAGTCCACGCAGAACCGGGTGGTACCATCTTTCTTGGGAACCAG